CAATCAACGGTTAAATTTTGATCTATGATTTATATGATTATAGTGGCAAATTTCGAAGTTAAGCTCTTCATGAATGTGAAATCCTATTCTCGGATTTCGCTATTATAATCTACATATTGTATTGTTGAGATTTTTATCTTTCAGGATATTATATTAATTTATTTGAATTTAGATTTTAATTAAACTAGTTACGAAGAGTGAAGTTTGAAAACTAATTATTTAAAATCTGTAGATCGTTCGATGTCACAATTTATATTTTCGAATAGAGCCCGATCTCATGAACGCGTAGGCGTAAATTGTTTATGAAATGGAGTTATAATGAGAGAGTTATTAACGTTTAAAGTTAGGGATATTTTTGTAATTTTGCCCTCATTTAGAAGGCTCCAAAAAATCTGGAGCAAAAGATGTGCCACGTGTGTGGCTAGAATGAAGGCAAAAGAAGAGATGGACGACTAGGATAGAAAGGAAAGAAAAGAAAGGAGAGAAAGGAGAGAAAATGAGGGGGAAGAAGGACCGATCGAAAAGAGAAGCAAGGAGGGGAAAGGAGAGGGGGGGAGAAGGAGGGGAACTAGACCCCCATTCGACCCGATTGCACTTCTTGACCTGACCCAGTCTTTTTCATATTCTCCAGTGGTTTTTCATCAATTTTTCCAGCGAACCACGTTATCTAACCCCTGCAAAATGTTCTGCGACCTTTCCTCTACCCATTAAAACCCAAAATTGTGGAAATTTAGCCATGAAATTATGAAAACCGCACCAGTGGGTACGGGAACCCCTTGTCGTCGATTCTCCCATTATTGAAACGATTTTCACCAATTATCACCACCATTAGACTCTCCTTGAACCCAGGAACAAAGTCCAAACAACCTTGGAGGCGGCGGAGCACTGGAGGTGACAAATCGAAGTCACCCAAATCAAGGGTTTCAGGCAATTCATGGGCCATTTGAGGTCTTTCCCAAAAAAATTGGCCTTGGTCACATGTATGAAACTTACTCTACTCATTGAGATATTCATTCTAGTAAAACTTGAGAATTTTTGGAAATAGTTGAATTTTCCAGCGAGTCGAGACGGCCGACCGCCACCTGCAGCGGCGCATGGCTAGTGGGCCAACAATGTCTTTTTAAGTACTATTAGATGCCCTGAGTTCATGTTTCATATCCATATGACGTACATTGATTGTTTGAACTTAGTTTCATTACGACACATTACTTGATCAAAATATGAATCGCCAATCCGATCATTGGATCGTCACTAAACCTTAATGTTTATAGAACATAATATTTGAGGATAACTGGAAATGATAGATCGGGAATCCGACATACAGATCTTCCCGAATTAGATTCTAAGTTAATAAAATTAATTGTTAACTACCACCTAATTCTAGCAATTGGCGGAGATTCGACCGTCGGATAGCGGTGAGATTTTAGTATGTTGTTTTTTGAGCATAATGTGGACCTTAGGAAGTTACAGATCTATATTATGATGGGCGGATCTTCCGGATTAAATTGCTAGGGTGTGCACCCCGCCATTGACGTTTGGTCAACAGGTCTTGAACCATTTGAATTACTAAAATTAGTATTACTAAAGACTCAGTGAAGCTTTAAGGACTTGTCTCGGTGAGTAATTTTAATATATGTGATATGGTGATTACCCGATTCTTTGTATTAATATCCTTTGTGGATATGACATGGTTTTATAAATGTGTTTTCTGTTAAAATGTGATTCTTTTATAATTGGCCATCGATCTATTTTTATTAAACGTGATTTGATTCATGGATTCGTAATATTTGTGAAAAAGTGATTCGAATTGTATATTGAAATGTTTTGTAAATTGAGGGCTAGTAGGGGACTATGACCTTGCTTTGTTAGTACGCATTAGGGGACCATACTCTATATGGATCGCGCTTGGTTAATCCGCGTTGGGCGATCCTTATGGCCATTTATACTTAGGGGTGATCATCTTGGTTAATCCGCGTTGGGTGATCATTGCCTAACAATTATGTAGGTGTGACTCTGCTTGGTTAATTCACGTTGGGGGGTCACTACCTACCTGATTATCTTGACCCTACTTGGTTAATCCACATTGGGGGGTCACTAGTGGCCCTGCTTGGTTAATCCGCATTGGGGGACCATATTGTATATGGATTGCGCTTGGTTAATCCGCGTTGGGCTATCCTGATGGCCATGTGATAAGCTCATATTTATATATATTTTATATTAAATTCACTTGTCTTTTCTTAGTTAGTTCCTTATATTTTTGAGTTATTTACCTTGTTTTTGTGTTTTGTAGGATTTGTCAAGTAAAGAAAAGAAAAATAACACAAGTGGAATGTTAAGTAATAAATTCGTCAAAACTGCCTGTGCAGGTCAGCTGACTTTGGAAGCAAGTTGCGGACAGTTCAGAATGAATTAGAGAATGAGCCTTATATGCTTGGAAAGCTACGGATGTCTATTTTCTGAAGCATTTTGCGGATTGTTAATATCATTTTTCTAGAAAAAGTTATGACTGTTCTAACACTGAAAGGTTCCCAGGAGGCTGAGCAGTTTGTAACTGATAAGAAAGCATTGAAAGCAATAAATCCCATAAAACTAACAGCCAAAACTGATGCAGCCAAGAACAAGCCAGCTAACACCTATTCAAATATCAGAGGAAATGAAAAATTAAGTGAGAGTAATGGGCATAAAGGCTGCCCAAAGAGTTACAATTGTTTTAGCATTTCCTCCCACTTATTGTCATCACTAAATGGCTGTTAGCGGGGTGAGTTATGGAGAAAAAACTGTGGCAGCATAAAAAAAAAAAAATACCTACAGGTTGCAGCAACAAAGAGGGGGAAAAAGGGTGAAAAAAAAGAGAGAAAAAAAAAAGAAGCAAAGCAAGGAAAAAAGGCAAGGCTGCTGCATTGGGGAAGGAAGGAAAGGAAGGAGGAAATCTTGGCATTCTCTTCTCTCGGTTTTATCTTCTCAAACTCATGTCTTTCTTTTGGTTTAATTTGAGAATTATGTGTAACTAATTTTTAGTAGTTAGGGGCTGTTTTGAAGCCCCTAATATGATTGCAAGTTTGTTATGACATTTCGTTTGAATTACTTTTACGAATGGATGAAAATTGGTTCACTACATGTCTCATTGATGAATTCTTTATGTGTTTTCTATGGATGCATACTTAGTAAGCATATCTAGGATTCTAATGCTATGAATATGTGTGTGCCTGCCCTTGTTGAATGAGGACCTACATATGTTCCAGAGTAGTACTTGTTAATTGCGATTAACATGTGAATCAATTTCTAGGATAAGTAAGACAACGCCAGTACTTACGATGCCTTGTGATGACTCAAACTCTTTTCGTTCTTAATGATTTCTACTTGTTAAATTTATGAACACACCATTCGAGATTGCATGTTAGGGACTAAGTTAAGTTGAAAACGCCATTCTCTTAACATACTACATAAGAAAGAGTAATAGGTTGAGTTCTAACATTGAGCCAACTTGAGCATCTTCATCCAAAAATGAAAGGAATTTGAATGAAACATAACATGTTTGCATGATTATTTGGTGGTGGATAGCAATTCCCCTAACTCGTTTTTCTTAATTTGTGAACTACTTAAAAATATGTCTCTGTCTTGTTTTTGTTCGATTTAATTTAAATATCAAATCAACTCCAAAAATCCCAAAAATTTGTGTGAGTGTAGCTCTGTGTGTCTAGTATCTGTATATAAAATTTCGTAGACTTTAGATAAGTGTAAGTCAGTCTAATAATTATTTTTCGGTGGCTGGTCAGTAGGGATAGCAGCCCAGTTTTTGTGACATTTTAAGTAGTTAGATAAAACAATCTTCTGCGGGAAAGACCCTTATTTTCATATGCTACAATTGACAAATATTATTGTTAATAAGGAAAATTAATAGGACATTTGTGTGCTACTTTGTGATGTGCATTTAATCCTATCAAATTTTTGGTGCCGTTGCCGGGGATTGTTATTTCTAATTACTTATTTTTTATTGTTTTCTTTTCTTGTCTAATTAGTGTTTTTGTTTTTGTTTTTATTTCAGGTACTCTTCGTAGTATATGCGTACTCGAAGGTTCAAGAGCATTGATCTAGCTTCCTACGATCCTGAGGTTGAACGAACATTTCGAAAGCTTCGAGGAACAATCAAGCAGAAGTGTGCATCGGTGTCTTTACCACCATCTTCTCCACCACATTTGAGTTCGGAAGAGGAGGAAGAACCACAAGAAGGCATGGCTGATAACCGGACTTTGAGGGAATTGGCAACGCCTAATACAGATCAACAACCATCGTGCATCACATATCCAAATGCAGAAGGAGGATTTGAGCTTAAGTCCGGCATGATTCACTACTTGCCTAAGTTCCATGGCTTCTCAACAGAGGTTGCCAACAAGCATCTCATGGAGTTTCATGTGGTATGCTCGGGAATGAGACTAGCCAATGTGGATGAGGAGCAAGTCAAGTTGAGGGCATTCCCATTTACATTAGAAGCTAAGGCAAATGAGTGGCTTTACAATTTACCTCCAGGATCAATGAACACATGGAACCAGGTGAAGCAAGCATTCTTGGAGCAATATTTTCCGGCCACAAAAGCTGCAAGCATAAGGAAAGACATATGTGCAATCCGACAACAACATGGAGAGCCCTTTGGAGATTACTATGAGCGATTCACACATTTGGTTGCACCTTGTCCTAATCATCAAATTTCAGAGCATCTTTTAATACAATATTTTTATGAAGGATTGTGTGGTACTGATCGTGTAATGCTTGATGCAGCAAGTGGAGGAGCATTCATGGACAAGACACCAACAAATGCTAAGGCATTATTAAAGAACATTGCTGGCAACACACGACAATTTGGAGGGAGAGATGAGCTACCTCTTAAGAAAGTTAACGAGGTAAGTGCTAACTCTAGTATTGAATTACAATTAGCTAACTTGACTAATCTTGTGCAACAGGTTATGGTGGCTCCAAAACAGGTGTGCGGTGTTTGTTCAATGATGGGACATGCCACGGATATGTGCCCTTTGTTAATGGATCAAGGTAGTCTTGAGCAAGCTAATGCGTTAGGAGGATTTCAGGGGCAACAAAGACAAAAGTATGATCCATACTCCAACAACTATAACGCAGGGTGGCACGATCATCCACACTTAAAGTGGAACAATCAAGACAACGGACAACAATCTGTTCCCAACAACTACAACCATCCACCTGGCTTCTTTCAAGCAAGACCGCAGGCACCGTTTCAGCCTCAACAACAACAAGCTCCAAGTTAGTCTCTTGAGGATTTAATTGCTTCTTTAGCTAACTCTACTCAATCTCATCAACAGAAAACAGACAAAGCAATTGAAAACCTTGAGCGCCAAATGAGTCAGTTAGCAAATTTGATGGGGCAACAACACCAACCAGGAAGGTTGCCTAGCCAAACCGTGGTGAATCCAAATGCGGAGCAGATGAATGTTGTGACTTTAAGGAGTGGAAGAGAAGTTTTTGAGCAGCCAAGGATGCAAAAGAGGACTAGAAAAGAGAAAAACGAGTTAGGGGAATTGCTGATACAAATGAGCAAGGGGAGCAACAAACCAAAAATCTTGAGCAAGATGAGGCTTCAACAGAAACTGAAAAGTCTCATAAAGATACAGAATTAAACAAAAAAGATTCTGATAAGGTAAGTAAAGAAGTTCAAAATTCATTTAACTCATGTGTCCCTATTCCTTTTCCTCGTAGGTTTATGAAGTCTAAGAAGGAGCAAACTGATAAGGAAATCTTGGATACTTTCCGAAAAGTCCAAGAGAACTTACCTCTTTTAGATGCCATAAAACAAGTGCCCAAGTATGCAAAGTTCCTTAAAGAGCTTTGTACGAATAAGAGAAGATTCAATGATCAAGAAACTGTGGCATTAAGCGAGGAAGTATCAGCTGTTTTGCAGAGAAAGCTACCACCGAAGTTGAAGGATGCCGGTAGCTTTACCATTCCATGTGTAATTGGAGGGAAAGCGTTTGGGAGAGCATTGTGTGATCTGGGGGCATCCATCAATCTGATGCCATATTCAGTGTATGAATCACTAAACCTTGGAGATTTGAAAGAAACAAAGGTAGTAATCCAGTTGGCAGATCGTTCAAATAGATATCCCAAAGGCCTATTGGAGGATGTACTTGTGCAAGTGAATGAACTTATTTTTCCCGCTGATTTTTTTGTTCTTGAGATGGAACATGACCCTATGCCTACTGCACTTCCTCTTATATTGGGAAGACCATTCCTTAGAACAGCGCGTACGAAGATTGATGTCTACGATGGTACTTTAACCATGGAAATTGATGGAGAAAGCGTTAAGTTCAAAATCTTCAATGCTATGAGGTACCTAGTGATTTTGAATCTTGTTTGTCTATTGATGCGTTTGACTATTTTGTGCAGGATTGTTTTAATGAAGGTGTGGGACAAGACAATTTAGAGAAGGCGTTAGTGCATAGTATTACACATGGAAAACTTAATTATTCTGAGCACATTGAAGAAGAATTAATCCAGACAGTGGCAGCCCTTGAGTCTCTTTCACCAATTCATGGCAAGTTTTCTTCCTATTTTATTTCTCTTCCTACTTCTAACGAAAAAATTCTTCCTTCTGTGATTCAGGCACCCAAATTGGAGCTTAAACCGATTCCTGAACATTTGAAGTATGCATTTTTGGGAGAGGAGGAAACATTACCGGTCATCATATCATCACAACTCACAGCAGAAGAAGGGGAGAAATTGATCCGAGTACTGAAGGATCACAAAACTGCCATAGCTTGGAGCATTGCAGATATCAAAGTTGCTCCGGAGGATCAAGAAAAGACAACTTTCACATGTCCATTTGGCACATTTGCATACCGGAGGATGCCGTTTGGACTTTGCAACGCCCCCGCCACATTTCAAAGGTGTATGGTAAGTATCTTTTCTGATATGATTGAGAAAATAATTGAAGTGTTCATGGATGATTTTTCAGTTTATGGTGATTCTTTTGATACATGTCTACATAATCTGTCCCTAGTTTTAAAACGTTGTCAAGAAACTAATTTGGTCTTAAATTGGGAAAAATGTCATTTCATGGTTTCGCATGGATTAGTTTTAGGGCATATCATATCTGAAAATGGAATTGAAGTTGATAAATCTAAAGTAGAACTTGTTAGTTCTTTACATTTCCCTACTACTGTCAGGGAGGTTCGTTCTTTTCTTGGACATGCAGGTTTCTATCGTAGGTTTATGAAAGACTTCTCAATGATTTCTAGACCCTTGTGCCGTTTGCTTCAAAAGGATGTAACATTTGATATGAATGAAGAGTGTGTGGTAGCATCCAACAAACTTAAGGAGTTGTTATCCACGGCTTCTGTGATCATGCCACCAGATTGGAGTTTACCTTTTGAGTTAATATGCGATGCTTCAGATTATGCTGTCGGTGCAGTTCTAGGACAACGTGTCAACAAAGTGCCACATGTCATCTATTATGCATCACGAACACTCAATGATGCACAGTTGAATTATTCAACAACAGAGAAGGAGCTTCTAGCTGTTGTATTTGCTTTAGAAAAATTTAGATCTTATCTGATTGGAACTAAAGTTATTGTGTTTTCTGACCATGCAGCTTTGAAGTATTTACTCACAAAAAAAGATGCAAAACCGCGACTCATTCGATGGATACTTCTGCTTCAAGAGTTTGACTTGGAGATCAAGGACAAGAAAGGGAGTGAGAATGTTGTAGCAGATCATCTTAGCAGACTTATGCACTCAAACATAGAGGAAGATTTCATCCCTTTACGTGAGAGTTTTCCAGATGAGCAATTGTTTTCATTAAAGGTTACTGACCCTTGGTACGCAGATATTATCAATTACAAGGTCACCAAAAAGATTCCGGATGATTTTACACGTGCTCAGAAAGATAAGCTTGTCAAAACCGCCAAATACTACGAGTGGGATGATCCTTATTTGTGGAAATATTGCCCTGATCAATTGATTAGAAGGTGTGTCCCTGAATCTGAGTTTAAATCTATTCTAACTTTTTGTCATTCTTATGCATATGGCGGCCATTTTGGAGCAAAAAGGACAGCCCTTAAGGTGTTAAAGAGTGGTTTTTATTGGCCTAGTTTGTTTAAGGATGCGTACGAGTTTTGTGCAACATGTGATCGTTGTCAACGAACAGGTAACTTGGGCCCAAGAAATCAAATGCCACAAACCCCTATTTTGATTGTTGAGATCTTTGATGTATGGGGCATTGATTTCATGGGACCTTTTCCATCTTCAAATGGTTTTCTTTACATTTTATTGGCTGTGGATTATGTTTCTAAATGGGTGGAAGCGAAAGCCACCAAAACTAATGATTCAAAAATTGTTTCAGATTTTATTAAGACTAACATCTTTGCAAGATTTGGCACACCTAGAACAATCATTAGCGATGGAGGGAGTCACTTTTGCAATAGAACATTTGAAGCATTGCTTAGGAAGTACAATGTCACACATAAGGTGTCTACACCTTGTCATCCGCAAACTAGTGGTCAAGCAAAAGTATCAAACCGTGAGGTAAAGCAAATTTTGGAGAAAACTGTGAGTCCTAGTAGGAAGGATTGGAGCATGCGCTTGAACGATGCATTGTGGGCTTATAGGACTGCTTATAAGACTCCTATTGGAATGTCCCCATTTCGATTAGTTTATGGGAAACCATGCCGTCTTCCAATAGAATTAGAACACAAAGCTTATTGGGCTATCAAAGCCTACAACATGGACATGAGTGTTGCCGGACAGCAGAGGAAGCTTCAATTGAATGAGTTAGATGAAATTCGGAATGATGCATACGAGTCTAGTCGAATATACAAGGAGAAATCAAAGGCATTTCATGACAAGATGATATCAAGGAAGAGCTTTGCCATTGGACAAAAAGTTCTTCTATTTAATTCTCGCCTTTGGTTATTTCCAGGTAAGCTTCGTTCTCGATGGGTTGGTCCGTTTGTTATAACTAATATTTTTCCTCATGGTGCAGTGGAAATCCAAAGTGCAAAGACCAGAAACGTGTTCAAAGTGAATGGACATAGACTCAAACCATATTACGAGTCTTCTGCGGAGCATGATGTGGAGGTTGTACCCCTCCAAGAACCAGCTTCCCTTGAATGATTACTCTTGGTACCGTCCGGCTGAGGACGTAAAAGCAAGCGCTTATTGGGAGGCAACCCAATATTTCTATTCATTATCTTTTTATGTCATTTTCAATTTTTCGTTTGTTTTGTTTTCTGAGTTTTCATGCGTGCTAAGCTGAATTATTTCTTTTCTTTGTAGGAATCTTAGGTTATGTCCACCCTTGGAGTTGATTGCAGAATTGAAGTTTGGGGGTCATCACTTGATTTTATTGCAAATTGGGGAAGTTTTCAGTCCAAATGCTTTATTTTGTTTCTTACTATTTTATTTCATTTTTATTTTTTATTTTATGCATTATTGTGTTTTATGACATTGGGGACAATGTCCAGTTTACGTTTGGGGGTAAAGATTGAAAAAATGACCAAATTGAAAATTTTTGTCCCTTTGACTAAGAACTGGTTTAATTTGTATCCTTGTTTTTTTTGTTTTCTTAATTAGTTTTGTTGACACTAAAAAAAAAAAAAAAAAAAAAAAAAAAAAAAAAAAATTGTATACAAAGCAAATAAAAAGTTTACGGGTGTGATTGGAGGTATTAGTAGAGTGGTTGGAGAGCTTGAGTTCTTATAAATCTCAACAAGAGAATTGCTGGCAATGTAGCTTGGAACTTGTGTTTACCTATCCTTTCATTTCTATAACCCTCTCCCTAAGCCTCATTACAACCAATAAAAGTCCTCTTGATTTTAGTTTTGCAATTATGATTGTGGAGATGAGATCTTTATGCAAGTTTATGGTAGATCTTTCACATTTGATTCTTTGAGCGAAACACGTTAAACTAAACATATGTGTGATTGAGTGTATGTCCCGTGAGAAGGTCACTATTTTGCATGTGGTGTTTTAAAACAAAACTTGAAATTGCATTAGCATGGCTATTACACACACTACACTTCCAAGATGATTAAAAGGTCGCTGTTAACATTTGAATAAGGAAGATGAGCTTGGATTAGCTTGCTTGGTGCTAGCTAAGGTTCTTGATGATTTGTTTTCTTGAATGAAATTCTATGAGGGTGACATAGTGGGGAGCTAATGTTTTTCATGTTGCTACTTTTTCATGTTTTCTTTGTTTTGCTCGAGGACTAGCAAAAGCTAAGTGTGGGGGTATTTGATAAGCTCATATTTATATATATTTTATATTAAATTCACTTGTCTTTTCTTAGTTAGTTCCTTATATTTTTGAGTTATTTACCTTGTTTTTGTGTTTTGTAGGATTTGTCAAGTAAAGAAAAGAAAAATAACACAAGTGGAATGTTAAGTAATAAATTCGTCAAAACTGCCTGTGCAGGTCAGCTGACTTTGGAAGCAAGTTGCGGACAGCTCAGAATGAATTAGAGAATGAGCCTTATATGCTTGGAAAGCTACGGATGTCTATTTTCTGGAGCATTTTTCGGATTGTTAATATCATTTTTCTAGAAAAAGTTATGGCTGTTCTAACACTGAAAGGTTCCCAGGAGGCTGAGCAGTTTGTAACTGATAAGAAAGCATTGAAAGCAATAAATCCCATAAAACTAACAGCCAAAACTAATGCAGCCAAGAACAAACCAGCTAACACCGATTCAAATATCAGAGGAAATGAAAAATTAAGTGAGAGTAATGGGCATAAAGGCTGCCCAAAGAGTTACAATTGTTTTAGCATTTCCTCCCACTTATTGTCATCACTAAATGGCTGTTAGTGGGGTGAGTTATGGAGAAAAAACTGTGGCAGCATAAAAAAAAAATACCTACAGGTTGCAACAACAAAGAGGGGGAAAAAGGGTGAAAAAAAAGAGAGAAAAAAAAAAGAAGCAAAGCAAGGAAAAAAGGCAAGGTTGCTGTGTTGGGGAAGGAAGGAAAGGAAGGAGGAAATCTTGGCATTCTCTTCTCTCGGTTTTATCTTCTCAAACTCATGTCTTTCTTTTGGTTTAATTTGAGAATTATGTGTAACTAATTTTTAGTAGTTAGGGGCTGTTTTGAAGCCCCTAATATGATTGCAAGTTTGTTATGACATTTCGTTTGAATTACTTTTACGAATGGATGAAAATTGGTTCACTACATGTCTCATTGATGAATTCTTTATGTGTTTTCTATGGATGCATACTTAGTAAGCATATCTAGGATTCTAATGCTATGAATATGTGTGTGCCTGCCCTTGTTGAATGAGGACCTACATATGTTCCAGAGTAGTACTTGTTAATTGCGATTAACATGTGAATCAATTTCTAGGATAAGTAAGACAACGCCAGTACTTACGATGCCTTGTGATGACTCAAACTCTTTTCGTTCTTAATGATTTCTACTTGTTAAATTTATGAACACACCATTCGAGATTGCATGTTAGGGACTAAGTTAAGTTGAAAACGCCATTCTCTTAACATACTACATAAGAAAGAGTAATAGGTTGAGTTCTAACATTGAGCCAACTTGAGCATCTTCATCCAAAAATGAAAGGAATTTGAATGAAACATAACATGTTTGCATGATTATTTGGTGGTGGATAGCAATTCCCCTAACTCGTTTTTCTTAATTTGTGAACTACTTAAAAATATGTCTCTGTCTTGTTTTTGTTCGATTTAATTTAAATATCAAATCAACTCCAAAAATCCCAAAAATTTGTGTGAGTGTAGCTCTGTGTGTCTAGTATCTGCAAATAAAATTTCGTAGACTTTAGATAAGTGTAAGTCAGTCTAATAATTATTTTTCGATGGCTGGTCAGTAGGGATAGCAGCCCAGTTTTTGTGACATTTTAAGTAGTTAGATAAAACAATCTTCTGCGGGAAAGACCCTTATTTTCATATGCTACAATTGACAAATATTATTGTTAATAAGGAAAATTAATAGGACATTTGTGTGCTACTTTGTGGTGTGCATTTAATCCTATCACCATGTTTGCTTAGGAGTGATCATGTTTGGTTAATCCGTATTGGGTGATCACTTCCTAACAGCTGTAGGAGTGACTCTGCTTGGTTAATCCACGTTGGGGAGTCACTACCTACTTGGTTATTTTCTCATGGGTGGCTTTGCTTGGTTAATCCTCTTTGGGGGGCCACTTCCTGTTTGGTTACTATGTAAGCTTCGGCTAAATTGCGTCCCTCTAGCCCTATTTTTTAATGTACATATGAAAATTGGTTTTTTAAAATCTTGTGGTTTGAATTAGAAAAACCTGTTAGATGTCTGGGTGACTCATATGAAGTTTTCAGTGACTTGATTATGATTCCATAAAGCATGATTCTATACTTGATGTTTATAGATTGTGATCGATGGTCTGTTTTAATTGAATATCACATACTTGTATTATTGTCACTCACCCGAGCTCCGTAGCTTATCCGAGTTCCGTTTAGCTGGTGCACCATTTCAATGATGTAGGCACTGATTTTACATATGACAGGTTTGGGTAGATTATGAGAAACCGCTTGATATTTTGGTTCCATTGAGTGGTCCAGAACCCGGTGTTGTTGGATTTTGTTGAGTAGTCCGGAATCCTTGCTTTCGCTCGTTCCCATAAGATTAGTCTAGAACCCTAGATTCGAGTGAATGGGAATTACCCACAATAGACCTTGTGAATATAAAATAGATTTACCATGTTATTGCTCATAATCCAAGTCGAAAATTATATAGAGTTCCTTGGTTAAATTTGTGAAATTATATGTTATCGCATTCATTGATTAACATAATTAAATGCTAAGATCATGTATTTTTGATTTATGAATTGATTGATTGACGGGATTGTGGAATGACCTTGGTTATGGTTGTCATTATTATAATTATTTTAGTGATCAATGTGGCTTGAGAATAATATGTGCTTCGTTGGTTAATTGATGTTTACATGCTATGGATGGAAGTATCGTGCTGAAAACATGGAAGTTATACGATGGATGGAATGAGAATTGTGAATGGCATGTTGGTTTGTTATGTAACCTGAGTCCAGGAATTTCATGTTGTCAGGTTATAATAAATGATTATTGACGAATGGTATGCTTTTCTGCTTGAACTTAGTGGGATAAACGTCTGATTTTGTGAATGTTGAACTACAAATGGCTTGATCCCTATTGAGGGTACGTAGGCACTCTAACAAGGAGGTTAGATGCAGCCATAAAGTGTACGAAAAATTACTATGTAGTTGGATCGTGAGTTGTGTTTGCACATATCCCGAAGGCGGGGTATGTTAGAGATACAGATTCTTGGTGACATCACGGGTCGATCCTAGACGTATGTCGGGATCGGGGCGTGTCATGAAATTTGTAATACAAGCGTTTATATATTTTTCTATATGTTTTACACTTCTACATTAATTAAAAAACTATTAAAGACTTTACTTAATTAATTAAGCTATTAGTTAATTTATACCCATTTTGTTTCAGAAGCAATGAATGCTAGAGATTCAGATTCAGTAAACCTTAGTGATGAGGAGTCCGTGGAGATTATAATTGGAACAGAACGAGATCTTAAAAGTGAAAGTATAGTCAATACAAATACGAGTCTTGCAAAGAAAAAGGCTAGAACAATCAATTTAGGTAGCGAAAATATACTTAAAAAAAATGCGTTTTTATGTTTTGGATGTGTCAATATGGTATGTATATACTTATTTATTATTATGTTTTTTATTTGATTATTTATTGGTTTAAAATATATTTTCCTTACCGGGTAATGGGTCGGATCATTATTTGTTAATATTATTGGATTGATTTCGGATCGGGTCATTTTACTTGTTTATTTTAACGGGTTTTACACGATACGACCCGTTAAGATATCAGGTATGACATGAAAACAACACGAACACGAAAAACACGACACGAATACCAAGTCTAACCACAACTCTCTTTTTCGGGTGGAAAGGAGAATTTTCTTCATTCTTAATGGGAGCAAACCACATGTTAGGAATAATACAATCAGCCCCGCATAGGGAGGGTTTTGCCATATAAATATTGAAACCCGGTACAACGGACAAAACTCGTTGGAGCTGACAACAAATTAGCAATAGGATCTGCTTCACATTAAACACTAGTGTCGCAGCAACACTCAACAAAGATGGACCTCAAAGGGGAAATGGCAATTCCGCTCAATTTCCCCTACCGCCCCCCGTTGGAGGGCCAAAGTACTTGCTCGTCATCAAAGACGGCATGAATTTGCTGATCCACTAGTGAAATATCGGCCACTCCTCTTTATATATCGATACAAACTCAAAACTTTATTTCTCCACCAGCTAAAGGAAAGATCCACACACCAGATCCGAAATAGATCTTCAGCCTTCGCCCAAAGCAAAAAAGAACGCTTGCATTGGATGTCTTGGAAGAAAGATCCAGCTATAAAACTGGAGAACAGCCCTGAACAAGCCAGGGGATGATCAAAACCTTGCAAAAACGTAAGGAATTTTTCCATTGACATCATCAAGATTCAAACTAAGAAATTACATCAATACGAAGAGACATTTGATCTTGCAATAAAAAAAATCACGCGTCCGCATAAACAAAAAGGGTCAGAACTAAACCTGCAAGAAAGCATGAGGAAAACCTCGGACATTCTTTAACTTCTTCATATTTGATGGAGGCCATCTGCCTTTCTTTCTCAGTTTTCGCTTGCGAACAAGTCGCTTCCTGCGAAGCCTTATTTTCTTCGCCAGTTGCATCTTCTTCTTCTGCTCTAGCTGCTCTTGCAGCTTTGACTCCAAAGGAAGCTTGTCGACAGGTACCACCGCCTTTTCCTTGCTATCTGGAAGGGGCTCACTGCCCTCATTTGCGGCAGCAGTTCCATCAATGTCAGAGGAGGCCTTAACAACTACTGAAGCTGACCTTGTCACAACGGGCATATGAAGTCGAACTCCGCTGAAAGATCTCGGATGTAGATTATTGTGTTTCATGTGCATCCATGAAACTGAAAGCCAGAGACACAAAATAAAATTATCATACGAATATGAGCCGAAAAATATACGAAAAAAAGCTGATATACAAACCAAAATAACTATAAAAACTAAAATAGTTGCTCAACAAGTTTTCAGTTTTCAAAAAAACAAAAACAAAACCTGGAAGACTGAAAACGAAATGGAATAACTTGAGAATTAATTTACTGCAGCCGAATGTAGTACTTATTTCATCACATTGTGTACTTCGTAGCAGTAGGATTCTGCAATTGGCCTACACATCAATCAAACTTTAGTCACCATGTACTTTGACCTGGTCCTGGTAACTTATATGTACAAGGATGCCTTATTGTGACCAGTAAACCTGGAATTAACCACCGGATTCTGAACACAGCATTCAAGATAGATGTGTAAACAATATGGAATCAGATCCCCCAATCCCGACCCTAAGAAAGTGTGTCAAAATGTGTCTCCCGATCTTGACCCAAGAAAATAGATGCAGACCTGGTTAGGAAGCAAAAATAACCATCTTTCTTGTTCTTTAATTTCTGAACTATCCAGCCATGTCCGATGCATGTGCAACCAAGTGAAAGCAGCTGTCACCTCAGCCTGGTAAAGCCATAATAAATCATGAGTAATATAACTACCAGATTAAAATCTCTCCCGAGTTATTACATTCTAGGCCAAGAGGGGACATGAACTTAAAAGGTTATACCTTCGACCTCATCAAAACTGTAGTCAGACAGCATTGCCGCTCGCTCTCTACACCAATAAATCCAACAATCTGTCATCAATAACAATCCATTTCTATCAGAAAACTAAATCATCAAGTTCGGCACGATAATTAGCACTCACAAAAAACAGTCTGCATGATGACTTTTCTGGAGTGCCAATAGCAGCTTCCATAATTTTTCCACTTTCATTTTACATGACCCTTTCAGCTTTAATGTCTATACTCGGAGAGTCTCAGATATTTAACTAACGACTAGCTACCAGTTTTGATACAAATGTTAGATATTCTACTGGATTAACTCAACGAAGATATTCTTCAATTCTTATTCTATTCTCGTAAAAATGCTAGAAAGGAAGCCTCATCTCACCTTCAACACGCAGATTGATAGGAGTGTCGCCTCGGTTGATACTATGAAAACTTACTTCATTGGTATGTAATGTATCTATTTCAATACAACCTTCAACTGTGTTGGATGCACACCAACATAAATGTTTTGATTTCTAGTGTTCGTCTCATTCTGTCCGCATTTCATTCCTGTTATTTCTTCAAATCAAGCCGTTAAATGACTTTTTATGATGGCACAACACAATTCTTGTATATCTTTCTTGTGGATTTTATCTTATTAAGAAAGGAGTTTACGCACGAGTTGAGGTGTTCTCTAGTGATTTAATTTATATATACGGATAAAATGGTTGAAGTAGCAAAATGAATAGCAAAACGAAGGGGTGCAGTTGGTAAAAAAAAAAAACCCCTGCAATTGGGGTTATTCTGCAGAGATAATGTCTGTGCATAGGGTGTTTGAGATGTCAATATTAGGATTTTGTACTTACTGTGCAATTTTCCCTAAACATATGTCTAGAATCCTGCCTTGGTGTCACCAAAAACCACACATTACCTCTTTTTGTTGCATTTCTAACTTTGTACAAACTAAACAGGAAGTATCACTTTGAATCTGGAGGCTGCAAGAACATATCCAGTTATGAGATTGGTTCTTCTTTATTCAATTAACAAGCCTTCAGATTGTTCTCCTTTTGCCCCATTCTTTTTTGCCTTGGAGGGAGGAAGACTTTTGGTAAAGAGAAAAATATTGAACACACAGATGATATGACAATGGAGTGAGGATGTGTTCTGATTTGTGCAGGTAGTGTATTGAGCGGTGGTGGCAGTGCACCACTTCCAGAAGCTAGTGCTGAAGACTGGGTTAACATGATTAACGGATTTCAGAAGGGAACTCTATCTAGTCGTTTGGGCATTCCTATGATCATCGCATTGATGCTGTTCATGGACACAATAATGTCTACAATGCTACAATATTTCCACATAATGTTGGGCTTGGAGCTACCAGGCAGGTAAAAGTTTCAGATTCTATTTGCTTCATTTCAAAACATGATAGGGCATTGTTCTATTTTTACACAAAGGATGAGATCTGTCACCGTCGTTTAAAAGCAGCACTCTGTAACTCTATAACTACAACAAGGTCCCATTAGGGTCAAATCCTTACAAGTAAATCTCTATTATACTTCAGCAAGTATTAAAATAACTAACCATGCATTTCAAAATCCTTTTAGATGTTTTTCGTTTTATAGTTCATTGAATGTGTCTTCTTTCTATTAAATATTTCCAGTATACAGAGACCCTGAACTGGTACGAAGAATTGGTTCTGCAACTGCTCTTGAAGCCCGAGCTACAGGGATTCCTTATGTATTTGCTCCTTGCATTGCGGTAAATAATACATTACAAAAGGATTTATGCGTTCAGCATTTTCTTCTTTTACATGCTTAACAATGTCCTTTGAGTGCGTTCATATTTTCTCCATCTGATGACTTCTGTGCATTGCCTGGAACATCCTATATAGGTATGTAGAGATCCAAGATGGGGCCGGTGTTACGAAAGCTACAGAGAAGATCACAAAATTGTGCAAGAAATGACGGAGATTATTCCAGGTTTACAGGGAGATATCCCTGCAAATTCTCAGAAAGGAGCGCCATATGTTAGTGGAAAGTAAGAATTTTATGAAAATAAGCATACTTCTATCTTTCCTTTTTTATTTTTCTCTGTTCATTCCATTTTCATTTTTCCTTCTTTTGATTTAAAAGATACAATCCTTTGTATTGTAACTATTGCTCATGATCTCAATTTACTGGATTTTGTGAGTTTAGGGAAGATAATTTGGCTGAAATATAATTTGGATAACACGCGTCGTGTTTTTCTAGTTATGGATTCAATTAATAAATCAAATGAATTTAGTGGTTCTTTTTATCTTTTATTTCCTTAACTAATGTTAAAATACTCAAGCTTTCAGTGATTCCTGATATATATTTATTTATTTATTATATTTTAGTAAAAAGGTTGCAGCTTGTGCAAAGCACTTCGTTGGTGATGGTGGCACGAGCAAGGGCATTAATGAGTACGACACTGTGATTGACCAACAGGAATTGCTTAGCATCCACATGCCTGCCTATTCTGACTCCATCATCAAGGGTGTCTCAACCGTGATGATTTCCTACTTCAGTTGGAATGGGAAAAAGATGCATGCAAACCGTGATCTAATTACGGACTTCCTAAGGGCACCCTTAAATTTAAGGTATCATTTTATTCACTTTTATTTAATATCCAAGCTTGTTGCAGTTTTTCTGGAGTTAACAATCACATGCACAGAAAGATATAAAGTGCAATCATGTCTCATCCATGTACCGAGATTTGATGTAAGCACGAAACTAGCATGCGCAGTGTTAAATCTTACCAAAACCTTTGCACATTGCAATTATCAGTACTTTTATTTGCGTGGTTTTCTCTTCCTTGGCATCTCATAGCTTAAATTACAGATTTTCAAAATATATGCTCTTAATCGTGACTAGTTGACTGCTTTATAACTGTTCTTTCCCTCAATCTCTTCTTATTCTTCAAATGCTGTCAGCCTTATCTGTTTTTATTGCCTTTCTCAACCTTGTGTATTTCCTACATGTTGGGTTTTAATACCTCCAATATTATCTAATCAAATTCAAATTACTTCCACATTACACATTAATGCGGTCAGGTTTTCTTGGACATTGCTTAGTGATTAGCATGATTCTTCACTTTCCCATGTTACCACTTTTGGTGTCTATAGATGGGTTCGCTGCATTTACATACTTTCTCGTATTTCTCCTCTAACGTCATCTTTATTTCATACAGCCAAACCCCACTTAGTAGGATAAGGCTTAGATGTTGTTGTTGTAGCCATTACAGATTATTGTCTTTGTAGCCATCATAATACATTCAAACAAACTTCTGATGCAGTTTTTGCGCATTTCTCTTGATACAATTGTAGTGGCTAGCATACATCAGTACCGCATCAGTTATATGATTTATCCTGTTTTGCATCAGTTCCCACTTTTTAGCGTCTTTAAGCTTCATCTGTGTTAATGAGTTGAAATTTCAGATTCAATATGAAATTAAGGTATTTGTGATAAGTTGATAACTCAATAATATCACTGATCTCGAGTTCTGGTTGTTATCGGTCTCACAATAGGTGCTTCATTTTGGTGACTGTATTGTACCTTTATCTGTGTTCTGCACTGTTTCATGCTAACATCACATGATGTTTTTGGTTGAACATTCAGGGTTTTGTTATATCAGACTGGGAGGGTATTGACAGGATTACCTCACCGCCACATTCAAACTACACATACTCTGTCCAAGCTTCAGTTCTAGCTGGAATTGACATGGTTCGTGGCTTATTTTATATAAAAACCTCTTACAAAAATGAAAGAAGACAATAGCATCTCTTTTACACTATATAAAACTCTTTTTCTATTCTGGTTCGAAATTATAAAACTCTGAAAATGGTTCTCTTTGTTTTGAAGGTCATGCTCCCTATCAACTATAAAGAATTCATTAATGATCTCATTAACCTGGTCAAGAATAACGTTGTCCCAATGGATCGTATTGATGATGCTGTGGGAAGGATTCTGCTTGTCAAGTTCACCATGGGTCCTTTTGAGAACCCGTTGGCTGATTTCAGCCTAGTCAATGAGCTTGGAAGCCAGGTCAGTGTATCCGAGATAATCAATTATCAGGATTTGCAACCCTCCTATTGGTCATTTGATTGATGTATATAGTTCGATAAAATTAGAATGGACATTCCTTTCAAATTGGTGTTACATTCAATGGCCAAAAGACTGCTTAGTAAGCTTTGTATTTATTGATTTACTGACATGAATCAATCATTTTTGTATTTTAATTTAACATTACCAGGATCATAGAGATTTGACAAGGGAGGCTGTCAGAAAATCCGTCGTGCTTTTGAAGAATGGGAAAAGCGGGAACATTACAGATCCAGTCATACCTCTTCCCAAGAAGGTGTCTAAAATTCTAGTCGCCGGCAGTCATGCTGATAATCTGGGCTACCAATGTGGTAGATGGACAATTGCATGGTAAGGATTCAGTGGCAACAATTATACAACCGGTATAGTCTGCTTTCATTGATGTATTAAATACATAATATTCTGTCTATGTGCACAACTTTTGTGCTCTACAACAAAATGATAGAATTGAATATTCACAAAATAGAACATTAAGCACTTAATAAGAAGATTTCATAGGTGCTGGTTAGTTGCAACAAGAAAATCGTCTTCACAGTTATTAGAATGTATGGAAATATATTCCCGTGCGTGTAGGATGTTCGTACATAAATGTATCTAATCTTGGCTGTATTTTTCATAAAACTTCCTTTTCATGATTAGGGACTACGATCCTTGGTGCTATAAAATCAGCAGTCGACTCAAGCACAGAAGTTATCTACAGTGAGAATCCTGATGGTAATTTTGTAAAGTCCAACAACTTTGCATATGTGATAGGAATTTTACCACCTGCCAAAGTAGGGATAAAATCACACAAAATACTTGCAAGAGAACAAGGTTGTAGTATAAACGGCTCAAGCAAGGTCGTTGCCAGGATTATTTAAAACAATTTATGAAAAACCCTAATCCGAGTTAATTATCTGAAAGTAAAGATTGGAAAATTTTGAATTTGAATTTAAAAGTATTAAAAACGAATTTTAATAAAAGTAATTTAGAGAAAACAACTAATAACCAATTAATAAAGAAACAAATCAAAAAGAAAAGATTTTGAGAAACAAATTTGGAAAAGCACTAGGGTTCCGCCATCACCCTAACAATCCTATGTAGTTCTTCTAATTCCTTATGAATTACGCATGCATATTTTGAAGGTTAGGTTTTCCTAAAGTATGCCCTACTTGGTTTCCCCAATATAAAACGTATATCTAACATGCAACCCGTCCGTGGCTTCCAGATCGAATGTGAACATGCAAGACTCATTAAGTTTTGTGAAAACCTTTTGAAAAACCATATAACTCCTAAGACGTGTCGTCCATCCTAAGTAGTTACACATGTTAACCACAAAAAGCCTTAGTCAATTTTAGGGACCGCCCTCCGCCAAAATTGCATCAAATTACTTTTCTAAATATCCTAATGGTCGCGAAGCACTAAGACAAATAGATAGTTTAAAGCATAGTGATTACAATCCAAAACTTGCATGCATAAATTCATAAGAAAATTAAAAGAGACTACATATTCTTGCTAAGGATCATGGGCTCACCCTAGCAAAAAGGATTAGTTACGCATATTCATAAATAAAATCAACAAAATTGTATTAAATTAGAAAAAATGATGAAAACACCTGAAAGTATAAGTCTTAAATCTCAAGCTTTAGCCAAACTATTCTCTCAAAAATTGCATATGTTCAACCCCCCCCCCCCCCCCTCTCTAGGTTTGCCAAAAGGCTTATTTATACAACTCTCCTTAAAATCCTCCTAGTTAAGGGTCTTAGAGTCAAACTAGGAAACCTAAAAACTTGAAATAAAATAGGAAACATAATCCTAAATTAATTTGGTAAATTCGCCTAGAAATCTGCACAGCCACGTTTTGGACCCAAATCAACTCCAAAACTGGCCCAAAGTAGCTGGATTTAAAGTTCGAACTATTTTGAACACTTCTCCAGAAGGCCACGAACCCATATGAGGTCATCTTGGGCTCCAAAAACGCAATTCAAACCCAGAAACGTCACTTTCCAGCAACGCGCACAGCTTCTTTATTTAATCACCAGAAAATAACCGTTTGGTAGAAACATCCCAAATTTTGACACGAATAAGCCAGGAGACACACGAACGTCCTCCAATTTGAATCACTCCAAAATTGGTCCGTTTGATCATGTTTTGCTCCAGAAGAAGTCGAATGTCCTATATTGAAAATATAAAGCAAAGTATCAAAATTCTACCAAATAATTATCAAATTAATACTAAGAAAAGGATAAAATATATAATATAATATTGACTCATCAAAATACCCCCAAACTTAGCTTTTTGCTTGTCCTCAAGCAAAACAAAACTCAAAAACCAAAATAAAAATTAACAAACTAAAAACTTAACTGAAACTATTTTCACCTTCAAAGTTGCAATCCATAGAAAACATTAAAAATCAGAACATTTTTTCAAAAGTTTCAGCTAATCCCACCACAAAGTCTAAGCCATTTAGAATCGATTAGAAAAGAATTCACAAACTTTCTTTGGTGTAAAGTGAATCAACATGACTAAGTACGGAACTTGAACTCCTAAGACATGAGCTTCGAGGCTTAATCACTAACAATACATTACCTGATCGAAGAGAAAGAAAAAACAAGTTTACAATACACACAGATATGTAAATACTGACCACGTACCAACTGCAGGTGAAGCAAGAAATACCCGAAAAAGCAAAAAACTAAATAAAAGAGCTCTCAGAAGCAGAAACCAATTCAAAACACGAAAGAGTCGCAAACTCTTACCGCACAAAATCACCATTTCTTCCCTCTCCCATGTCCCTTAGTCTTACTACTATATCAGTGATGATGCGCCAAATACCTCAATCCCCATTACCCCGTGACCCACAGATACCTCATATCCTCCCACCTCTCCTTGAGGCTGCCACCGCCTTCTCCTTCTTCTCTTCCTCATGTCTTGACAGCTTGAGATCACTCAAAAAATTGCCTTAACAGCCACCGCCTCCTTTTCCCCGTAGCTTGAGTCCACCATATCACTCAAAGGTGCAGTGCTCTGACACTGATCCAAATACCCCTAAGTGCTGCGAAATTATCGTTTTTAAAGAGAGAGATGCTACATCTACCTCAAGAAACTCTAAACATCGCTGCCTCATCTCTTCCAAACGTCCACATCACTGCCTGATCTCTTCCAAATGTCGCTGCATCATCTCTTCCAAACAGCTTGACTCCTCAGGATCAGTCAAAATGTGATGAGAAATTTGTTGGCAGTCCCACATCGGTGGGGGAAATGAAAACAAATGAGTTTAAATAGGATTAAAACTTAAACAAAAACCGGGCCTTTCTTGGGTAAAACTCAGGCCGCTTTGCCACCTGCCGCTGCATCTCTTCCACCTGCCGCCGCATCTCTTCCACATAGCTTGACTCCGCAATATCCTGCCTCTCTTCCACATAGCTTGACTCCGCAATATCCTGCCTCTCTTCCGCATCAGCCACCGCCTCATTTTGCTCAATGTTTGGGACCATGGCAATAATCTCAGGTGCAGTGCTTCGAAACTGAGCCAAATCCCCCAAATTGATGAATTGCTGTTCTGGGCGGTAACCATGTATACCAGTTCCCTTTATGCCAAGGCGCTTCAAATACCATAAATCTTCAGGCAACTTCGAAAGTTTTGAGCACCCATGGAGAGTGAGCCATTCGAGACTTAAAAAATTGCAGATACTGTCCGGAAGATAGACCAGGCTTTTGCAGTTTTTCAGATTTAACGACATTAGCCCCTGAAGCCGTTCAATTGATGCAGGAAGCTCTTTGATAGATGTGCTATCCAAATCAAGGCTGGCTAATCTTTCCATATTTTCTAATATGTCTGGAAACACCTTAAACTTTGTACAACCAGAAAGAGAGATAATTTAGGGACTTGAGCTGACAAATGCTGCTTGTAAGACTCTCAAAGTCTTTGTTATACCGTAGCGTCAAGGTAGCAAGTCCCATAAGACTATAAATTATGGATGGCAATTCTTCAATTGCAATCCCCGAAAACTTCATACATCTATGGCCTTCTGCAACTAGAGTCCAATCTAAATGAAGCTCTTTTAAGTTCTCCGTAACTTTTAGAAACTCTGGAAAATTCCACAGATTCGAGCAGCCAGAAACATTCAGGGCTTGAAGAGATCTCATATGAAACCTGCCTGGAAGAATCTGTAATCTTCTGCAATCCTTCAGGCTCAGGGTAACGAGTCCCGTAAAATTTTTGATGGACGAGGGCAGCTTTGAAATTGCAGTCTCATCTAAATTAAGCTCTGATAGGTTCATAACTTCAGGAATTTCTGAAAAATTATACAGATCAGAGCAGCCGGAAAGATTAAGGGTTTGAAGAGATCTCATATGAATGCTGCTTGGAAGGCTAAGAAGCTTCTTGCATTGCTTTAGACTCAAACTCTCAAGGTTTTGAAGAGATGAAATTGATGGCGCAAGGCCCTTAATAGATGTCTCATCCAAGCGAAGCTCTCTTAATCTTTCCATATTTCCGACATTTACTGGAAAGGCCTGGAGCTTTGGACAACCAGAAAGATTAAGAAGTTGCAGGGACTTGAGTTGAACAATGCTGCTTGGAAGAATCTCAAGTTCTCTGCAATATTCAAGATTCAAAGTAACAAGCCCCATAAGATTATTAATTGATCGAGGCAGTTCTTTTATTGCAGTCCCTTGCAAATAAAGCTTTGAAAGCTTCTCCATAACTTTGGAAATCTCTGGAAACTTCTCAAGTATTGAGCAAAAAGAGAGATCAAAGGTTTCAAGAGATTTCATACAAATGCTCCTTGAAAAGGACTTGAGTTTGCCGCACCAACTTAGATCCAAGAGGGCAAGTTTTTCAAGGGCAGAAATGGATGGGTGAACCTCATATAAACTTGTGCATCCACCAAGAATTAGCTTCTCAAGATTCTTTGCCTCAGTGAAGTCCGGTGTTTCCTTAAGACGATGAGAGCCTTTTAAATTGATAATTTTCAACTTTCCAAGAGGCTGTCAATATACATCAAGGAAAATATGTGTTACATACATAATAAGGCATTTAAAAACTAAACCATTTAAAAGCAGTATATAGGCAAATGATGAACGTACCTTAGTTCCTTTCCAGAGGTGTTCAACCCAACTATATTGCATGTCAATTTCAACAAGATTCTCTGGGTTAAAATTGGACGATAAAGACTTTAGGGGACATTTATTCCAGAACAGATAACTTAGTTTTTCAGAGAGGAACTTTAGATCCTCGTATTGCCAGTGATCATCGGCCGGCTCGCCCTCTGGTAGCAAACAGTGGGTATGGACTCTGAGTAGTCTTAGTTTTGGCATTTGAACAAGGGCAGTATCTAATTCCACCACATTGTTTGAGTGTGGCCATTGCACAATTATGCTTTCAATTGCTTCCGTAGCCTGGATTACCAAAATTGCACTTTGAGTACAAACTTACGATTATAACGCCCAATGCACATGGTTCTCATGAATTGGATTTTGGTCAAAGTTGAAGCTTTATATTTTTATTATTAAGGAAAACTAACAAAAAAAGTCCAAAAAACATTTATTTTAATGAAAAATGACAAATAAAGGTGCAGTAAATAGTACCAGGAAAAGGTAAAAATGTGGTTTTTGTTAAAAGTGAAAACAGTACCGGAAGTATTATTATTATTATTATTATTATTATTATTAAATTTACTAATATTACTGGGAGAGAAAAGATTCAATGCAATTACATTAATGGAGTGGAGGGGAGCGTATTTCTCACCTTTTTTTTATTTAGCACATAATGAACATCTTCATAGCTCCACAATCTAGTGCGCCTTCCAGGCTCTTTTATAGAATCCTGGCGTACGATTTGGTGACCCATTTCCTCTATTAAATCATGCATCTCGAGTACACCATCAGATGAGATAGTGACCAGAGCTCTACCAACTAGAACGTCTAATCCGGTATGGGGATGGAAGTCACAACCCTCCATAATCCTTGTTGCCAAGTCTTTCTTCATTTGTTTAAAGAAACATGCAATATCAAGAAATATTTCCTTCTGCAAATCATCTAGTCCATCAAAGCTTGTTCTAAGGACTTTTTGGATTCCCAGGTGCGGGTTTCTCGCTATTTTCTTTAACTCATCTTTCCACACAAGTACACTTTTGTCATCGAGAAATGCTCCCAAGACTTTGAGTGCTAAAGGCAAACCTTGAGCATATTTTATGAAATGGCCTGACAGATCAATGTATTCTTCTGTGGGTTGCTTTGTACTGAAAGCATACTGCACAAACAGCTCGAGAGCATCATCGTCATTTAACAACTCGGGCTCATATATCTGATCACCAAGTCTACTTAGTGACTGTTTATCTCTAGTTGTTATAATGATTCGACTTCCGCCACCAAATGAAGGTTGCTTTCCAATTAAGGCTTCAATTTGGGATGAACTCTCCACATTATCCAGAACAAGTAAAACTTTTTTCTTACCAACTCTTTCCATCATCTTCTGAAAACCATTTCTCAAAATCTCTAAACTCCCCACTTTCTTATTTGTGATACTAGATAGAATTTCTGCCTGCATATCTAGTGGCGCTTCACCTGCATCAGTTGAGGGAAAACGTCGCTTCACATTTTCAAGAAAGCAACGACCTTCGAAGTGATGATTGATTTTATCATACACAGCTCTAGCGATGGTGGTTTTGCCTATACCGCCCATACCCCATATTCCAACAAAGCCAACGTTATCGACCTCGGGACATAATAGTGAATCCATTTTCTTTAAGCGGGAATCCATTCCAACCAAGCCATTCTTTTCACTTGATAAGAAGTTGATCAATTTCTTAAAAATATCATCTACAATCAACTCAATAAGCTCGGCATCATCCCTGCCAAATTTGAAAAAACAATATTGTCAAGTCCAGCGATTGCTAGTTATATGACACTCATCACACTGTCATTGAAAACACAAGTAACGACCCAACAATTCTCAGTTTATTCTTCTTTCATTTACTCAATGCACTCTTCTAAGTTCAATCAACATATAAGAGAACTAGTCATCTATATCCTCTCCAGATGTTTTCTAGACCTTTTAATAGCCGCCATATATTTTGATCTTGCGGTTTGAAGAATTAATTTAACTTGTTCTTTTTCTACTTATTAATGTTGGACGACGTCCTTTGTACATTATGTCTCCTCTCTGTTTCTCACACCTGCTTTTTCCTCATCATGAAAGAGGGAGAAAATTAAGAGATTTTGTACAAATGACATCGTCCCATGTGAAAAAGTAAATAAAAACAAGTGAATTCTTCACCGCAAGATCAATATCAAAGGCCCCTAATTTTTTAAATTAGTTTCCTCTTCCCTTCTCATGGCAAATATCTAGGTGTGGTGGTGGAAAGTTTTGCAGAGAGTTGGTGAGTATTCAATTTTGTAGAGGGTTGGGAAGGAAGTCTTGGTTCTAGTTGTATTAACATTAATGATAACCACAGGAAATCAGCGACTATAAACGAAATAAGAATTTTCTTCAAAACTAAAACGACCAAAACAGGAAATTAGCTAAACTTCTAAACTACTAAGTGAATAAGATTATGAGGGAATGAGTTACTGGTAATTTTGTGAATCCCAGCCACATAAATCGGGGGCTCTTTGTAGAGCAGACCTCCACCGCTGCACTTCTTCCATGTCGGCGTTAGGATCATGTTCATGTTTAGAAAAAGCTTCCTCAAAACTTCCCTTGATTTTACGAACATGAGATGGGTCTACTTCGTAGAAAATGGGAATCACAATCTGCTTCTTCTGATCCATGCATTGCAGGATTTGGACGAGTTCTTTCAAGCACCATGTGGAAGAAGCGTAGTTTTGAGAAAAAACTACAATTGAAAGCCTTGAGTCGCTTATAGCTGTCAGTAGCTGCGAAAGGCCGTTGCCTTTTCTGAGCTCTTCAGCGTCTTTGAAGGTGTTGATTGAGTTCTGAAGCAGAGCTTTGTAGAGATGGCCGATGAAGGTCCTGCGAGTGTCTTCCCCTCGAAAATTCAAGAAGACATCGTATTTCCAATTAGGAACAGATGAAGAAAAAGAAGCCATCAACAAGCACAAGATCGACAGTATTCAAGTAGCCCCTTAACAAACTCAAGATTGCTGGGCAACAACCCCCTTCATTGGTTCTCACTAGAAAAATGAGATGCATCTCCAGTGGGGCACTTGGAAGTTGCCAGGAAAGAAAGGTCGATTTGGGCAAATAAAGTCACTAATCTACGCCGTCCGATTGAAATAAAGCAAGTGGGATTGCACATGGTGCCCGACAACGCCATCAGGCCGGGCCCCAATCCTCTCAGCAAATACTAGACCTGGCATTCGTGTCGTGTTTCTCGTGTTTGTGTCGTTTTCGTGTCATACCCGATAGCTTAACGGGTCGTGTCGTGTAATACCTGTTAAAGTAAACAGGTAATATGACCCAACCCGAAATCAACCCGTTAATATTATCAAGTAATATGACCCGACTCGTTATCCGTTAAGAAAATTATATTTTAAATCAATAAAAATGAAAAGAAAAACATAATTTGACCCAAAAAAATGTAAAACATAATACTAAATTAGTATATACATACTAAATTTCGGAGTTGACCCCTTAATGAACGTTGTAAAGTTTTTCATTACGTGTGATTACATTTTTCACACTTATTATTATTAATTTTTCACTCAAATAAATAACATTGTTCATGAGATTTTTAAAAATCTACACTTATTTATACTTTCATCAAGTATAACATAAGATTTTATGGTATCCGCTAGTGTAAATATTTTAAATTGAAGATCGAATTCATTCATTGTATTCATATAGGGTCAATGAGTGTAGCTGTAAAAAATATCAAAATCGGAGTTAAAATAACCGTTAAATCGTAATTTTTCGTTTATAACCGTCGAAAAGTTTTGTCTCCTACTTGATCTCTCAATGTTTTTTTTTTTTGCAATTTTTGGCGTATGCAATCTCGAAGCATATATAAACAAGTTTGACGGTTGGATCGTTGAAATTAGTTTCGTAGGATGCGTATCTCATCAAAACGATAGATTCACTAACACTTAAGAGTTTATTTATACTTTCATCAAGTATAACATAAGATTTTGTGGTATCCACTAGTGTAAATATTTTAAATTGAAGATCGAATTCATTCATTGTATTCATTTAGGGTCAAGGAGTGTAGCTGTAAAAAATCATCAAAATCAGAGTTACAATAACCGTTAAATCGTGATTTTTCGTTTATAACCATCGAAAAGTTTTGTCTCATTACTTGATCTATGAATGTTTGTTTTTTAATGTGTTTTATGATTTTTAATCTCAATCTTTGCCTATAATATATTATAAAAATAAATAAATAAACAAAACTTAAAATTTAAAATTTATATAAAATAATAATAGAATAATAATTAATAAACAATATATACATATTCATTATATCTATTGCATTTTAGAGTAAGTTTTTTTTAGTAGTTTAAAAAATT